AAGGGTGACGCCTCATTAATATATACACTTAGTTTGCAGTATAGAAAAATGCACTTCATGTAAAGGAAAACAGAGTCTGTCCACCTTTCAGATAGACTGGTAGCTGTTATTTGGAACTGATGACAATAATAAATATGACTTTGCTCCCATTTCCAGACTAGTAGAGCTATCAAACACACAGCCAGTACAATGCCAGAGCTATAGCACCTGAACATCCAGGCTGTTGGTTAACAGGCAGCTGGGTAGCTGGATGCATCACAGGCTATTCTAATTTGAAATGATTAATCTCAAACAAATGGAGATTTACTGGTTTCATATTTGTGTAATTCCACTAAATTAACGATAGGGTGATATAAGGAGACCAGAATCAAATAAAAGGATGTCAACTTCCAAGCAAAAAATTGGCTTTCAGGTTTCTGCGGTTGAGACTTCACCGCTAAGACAATGTACATATGCTTCCAGAAGCCACTTATACTATGTGGGGTCAACTGGATTCAGGGCCAGGTAAAAAAAAGTATACACATAAATATACATCTTATTTACATATATTGCTTCAGATATTTATGACAGTCTTTCATATTCCCATGAAACTCTCTGCAGTTTGGGTTCCATTTCTAAGTTCTCCAGTTTCAAATACTGCATTTTAATTCTGCTTAATGAATTAGATATGCTTTAGAGCTATAATAAACTTTTCTTGTGAAGATATTTCTGAAGCATTCAGTCACATTGCTTACTGAGAATAAATACCACAATAATATATTTACATAAATAATTTAAAATCCAAGAGCACAGTAGGTAATAAAAATATATTGCCATGATAAACCATGAAACCAGAGAACAACGTCATTTTAATTAAAAATTACAAATACACCACAGTAAACAACTTATTTACATGTAGTTAAAAATCTAACTATCGAATATCCTGGACTTGTTGAATCCAAAAAAGGGAAAAATACTGAAACCAATCTCTTCACACAGACAAATATTGAGGACTGTAACTGTGTTTAATTAAGATCTACTGTTAATAATGGATTTCAGAGAGTGAGGTTCTTCTTTTAATTTCCCAAGGTAGAAAATGTTATTAAATTTGGCCTTTAACTTCTCATTGACATGTACACTTGAAACTTCTGATTAAAATTTCAGAGGTTGGGAAAAAGCACCCAAAATTAAACTCTTAAATCTGGCACAAAAATACCAATGATCCCTGATTAAGAAATCAAATTTCAGAAACTTCATTACTGTTCTATTAATAAATTGTTGGGTTATAATTAAAAAGGGGCCTGCTGGATTTCCTTCTTTTTTTAGTTCTAAAAAAGTTGGAAATTGTAGAGGGAATTAAATCCTTTAAAAAAATAATAAATAGGTTAATGAATCCAAGAAAGGTAATCCAACTTCAGCAGGTTTCTTTTCTTTCTGGGAATGATCACAGCGGAACAAACATTATTTTCTACCCAAAGGTATGTCTTCAGGAAGAAACACTGGTTCTGTCTGCTCCTCCCTTCCTACAACATCCACAGTCCAAAGCTCACTATATTCATCGCAGACTTTTCATAGGAAATCTTAGATCTGCGTATAGTTGTGAAAGTCAGCGTTAACCTAGTTTTAAACGGGTATAATTTAGAGTAGGATCAAACTTGATGCCTACATTATTTAGCTGGTCAATATGATCATGTGGTTCTTGTTTCCAGGATGATGTTTCTACCTCTATCTTGAGTTTCTTTGAAATGTTAACGTCAGTAGATCAGAGAAGAGCTTATACCATGAAAGTTCACTGCTAATCGTGTGCAGACAAATAGCTAGAGCTCAAGGTATGTGCTTTTGAGTCTTAGAAATACTCAGAGTCATATTTTTTTCAGTGTAATACATTTTTGCCAGCTTGTTTGAGCTCTTAAATGAAATTCCTTCTCAGTCTGCAAAAACACTTCAAGCTGAAGAATAAGAAAGAAATTTGCTTCAAAAGTACAGCTGTCTTTAGGAATTTTTACAAAGTAAGCCACTTTTTTCAAAGAGATAAGTAATTTGAATCTGACTCAGATATGCAACGTTCAAAGAATAAATTCAATATAGATGTGGACAATGGCACAAATGGTTTCTATATACTATTCATGGTTCTTCAAATGCATTTATGATGTTACATCTAGTAGAGTAACTAAATTTCCTGATTACAAATAATCAGTCCCTCCTACAAGTTTTATATAGAAAATTAACTAAAAATACCCCTGCAGTTAGACATGTATCAGTTGTTATAGGTTGAAAATAAAAAAAAAACCCCAACATTACTAATTCTCTGTTGTTCTTTTGTTTGTATCTGTCTGCATATTTTGAACAGATATGTGCTTTGTTGGGGGTGATGTACATTGTTCCCACAGCACACACAATATGAATCTGGTATTCATTGCCTCCCGCAGACACAAAACATTTCTTGCTCATGATCACTGATATTTAGTGAAATACCTCATTTAAAAGCCTGTATTGTGGCTAGTTGGCCTTTATGTTACCAGTATAATCATAGTAAGGACTCTGATGCTATAATTTATAGCAGCATAGTCTGAGAACCATGTAGTTTGGTGTGCATTCTCTGTAAAAGTCCTGGACGTACGCCCAAACTCTAAACACAAACCTGCCTGTAGGAACTTAAGAGAAAACATTTCGGCCAGATCCAAACTAGTGAATAGCTTTAGCCCTTATACACACAATTTTACACTACCCTTAATTGCAGATGCTGTTCTCATATACTACAGTCTTCCTTTTTCCCTGCTAGTAGCTATGTGCTTCAATAATACCTGTCAGTGTTAAATGCATCTTTTAAAAATGCTATTTTATGCTTTCCCATTATTTTAGCAAAAGAACATACAAGTAGTCAAATTAGCCTTTCCTGAATCATTCCACCATTCCCAGATTTCCATTATATCTGCATTATTTTCTTCTAACTTATACAGCCACTTCCTTCTACAAAGTTTCTGTATATGATCGTGGTACATTCCCAGCCCAGTCTAGCTTATTTCTGCTCTTCTTTTCTGCACATACAGGGTAAGAAAAGAAAAAATCTTGCTTTCCAGGTTTTGGCCATGCAGATATGGTAAAACTTCTGGGAAAATTGTATTTAGACTATGAGCCAGTTATAGTCAAGATTTGAGAAGTCCTTTGCAGTCAGCTGTGAGATGTGGTGGACTGCAAAAAGTGTTTAGGTTACTTAGCTGGTCATACACAATACTTCGAGTTTTCAGTGACTCATTGGTATGTCCTATAATTTCAATGTCAATGGAGGTAGGAGAAATTCAGCAACATCAGTAGATCAAGGGGGGAAAACTCAGATAATAGTTTCTGGATTGTTGTTTTTTGATAACTAAATCCTTACATTTTCTTGGCTTTTCTCTTTCAGTATTACCAAATCAACTGTTACTTATCTCCTATGAAAACGCATGAAGTTATGGAGAACTTCAACAATTATGTTTCTTAAACTCAGTCCCAATCCCAAAGAGAATAAATATCTTTTCCCTACTAAAGTCAGGTTCTGAGTAATGCTGCTGAGGGTCATATTGCTGTATCTGACAAGCAATAGAAATTCCATAGGTTTTCCATCCATAGACGCAAATTTGTGTGACCACAGTGAATAAAATCACTGGAATCTTTGGAGCAAAAAATAAAATTAAGACTAAAAATACATTCCATAAATAAATACATTTAGAAAACAAGGAGAATGACATATGCTAAGAATAAACTTGAGATAAACTGATATTGCAATGGCAGAACTCAAAGGTGGTTTTGATAGAGAAAAATGGAAATATTCATACTCCACTAACAACGTATTTTTGAGGTGATGTAAAGAATTGAGATTTTTAATTATCTGCCTTGCCTTTTTCCTCCTTGGAGACGAGCACACTCACCTGCTTAAATTCACCTTCGCATCATTCGAATCCAAGGCTGTCAGTGCGGTCCTTTGCAATGGCATGTTTACCAATATTTGTTACTGACAGAGAACATCTTCAAGATCAGTAGCTTTATTTTTTTGTAGCACAGTACACATGTCAAAATTTCTTTAAGTAGTACACGATCACTGCTAAATAACCCTGTGATAGTAGAGAAATCTACCTCTATGGTATAGATTGACAGTGCTCATTGTTCAGGTAAAGCTTTGAAGTCATTCTCACAAACATGTTTATGCCCTTTTATATACATTCATGTCTAGGGGAAATTAGACTCACAAGTAAGAACAAAAAATTAAACACAGAGGTAGATTTTCGCTGTAGTGCCTAACCTTCAGTTCTCAAAGGCTGAGAAAAGCTGTCTGGAAAGTCAATTTAGTATGAGAGAAGAAAGCGGTTGATCTTTCATTTTTCAACAAATCTCAAAACAAAAGATCAGACCAGGTGGGTCAAAATATATCATGATGGCACCACTTAATACCTAGGTTTGCTCCTTGCAACATGGCACGTGTGGGATTATATTATCATAGCACAGAAATAATAATTTACTTTCGTCTATCTGGGCAAGGCCAAGTCGTAGCCAACTGTAGCTTCAATGTTTCACTGGGAAATGTTTTGTCAGCCCTTGAACGTGGATGGACAGTCATTACTTCACTGAGGGACATTATAAATGATCATAAACTGACAAATCATATGTAAACCAGATAAATTATTTTTATACACATTTTCAATTTTTACACGTTTTCTCTGGCCCTCACAAAGGAAGAGGAATAAACAAGCAGGTTAAAAGTAATTTTGAAACACTGTGCAAAGGTATGTCTATTGCTCGTGGCATTTGATTGTTCTACTGCAGTAATCTCATGGCCTGGAAAACTACTGCCCCCTGTCTAATGCAGCTCTTTCTTTTCATTATACTGAATCTCTTCAGTGCAGGGGAAAAAAAAAAAAATTGCCACTTATTATTATGTAGAGCCCAAACAATTTTAATTTAATTCTGTACTGGCAGGCAAATTCACGGGCACAAAAGACACACTCGCTTCCTGATGGATGAAAATTAGAGGGTACTGCACTCACCTGATAGTCTGATGCTGCAAAGTATCTGGATCAGTGGCATTTACCGTTAACACGACACTGCCAATAGGGATGTTTTCTTGTTTTGTCACTGTCATTGGGTTTGGGTGGAAAACTGGGCCTTCATTCACATCCTCAACAGTAATCTGAACTGTTGCCGTGGAACTGGGGCCATAGGCTATGTCTGGAATCAGAGGGTCTTCATTTTCTACTTTGATCAGCAGCGTGTGAAATGCCGAAATCTCGTAGTCTAAAGGCTGTAAAACACATCACAAAATCAGAGTGCAAGGTGCAAAAACAGTACTTAACCCTTTTTCCTTGTACCCCATTGCAAACTTGCAGAGGATAGAATTAGCCAGACAGGGACAGCAGCATTCACCGCATCTGATCAGAGTTTAGCATGAGACACAATGCTAGTTATAAAGTGCATTGAAGACAATGAACATAATGGACTTGATGAAAGATGGAGATGTCCCTCTGTCCAAGAGCATATACTTTTTTGCCATACCTCATATATATAGTTTAATTCTCATATATACATACTTATTTATGATGTAATATGCATTTAGCAAACAAATCAGTCATAATTAGTAGCTTCTTATGATAAGTAACATAAGGCTATTTTCTCAACTCCTACCTTGAAATCAAAAGCACCACCATGGAAATACATGCCATTTATCCTAAAATTGAAAATGCCTCTTCTGAAGTCAAACAGAGAAAATTCTGGTACAGGCAGCAACCAAGGCTATTCTCTTTTTTTTTTTTTAAAGTGTGAGACAGAGGATTATCTTCATACAAAGACAACAAATAAATTTTTTCATGAGACTTTAGAAATGTGGGACCCAAGACAGCTCTCCAGTTCAGTCTGAAGCCACATCCTCTACTTCCCTGGTATTTGCATCTATGTTCTCTAACTTAGAACAAAATGTGGCCCTTGAATTCTAATTGTACCCTCAGTCACAAACAGAACTGTGTTGTAAAGTCTCACTATTAATTGTGATGCTTACTGCAAAACTAGCTGCTGTTTAAGCACAATGGCAATATAGTTAGCAACAGTCAGGTCCTTACGGCTAAAGCAGTAAGCCTACTGTGACAGCAGAAAGGGTTATACATATCGTTTGGACAAGGGCTGATAGCCAACTATATATTTTTGAGTAACTTATCCTTGGTGTGCCTTCTCTTACGCAGTGAATTCAGTGGGTGGACCTTACACTAATAATACAGTACAACAGGCAATTGTTCTTACTTTGACAACTGAGAGCATTCCCTCATTGGTCTGGGGATTGGTATGGATTTCAAAACTCTGCCCTGGATTTCCATTAATAATGGTGTAGACAGCTCTCCACGCTCCAGTTGCTGGGTCATCTCGGTCACCAACGGTTAAGTTTACTATTACACCTGTGACTCCCTCCTTTACTGTGGCTTGAAACTAGGAAAAAAAAAAACAAAAACCCAACAGAGAGGAAATTGTTACTATTTGCAATTAATGACCACACACACATGCAAAATAGCCAAGCCAGCATTAATTATTCACCATGACAGGAGAAAGATGTAATCCTTGACTGAAACTGAATGTTATAGGCTCTAAATAATACATTCTCCCTCATGAAACAGAAGGTAGCACATTACAGCTGCTCTCCATTTAACAGGTGACAGATAAGCAGCAATGCGATAGGAATCAAGCTTTGGAAGATTCTGATCACAAGACAACAGTTCATCTCATATTACTGGAGAAGTGAATCCTGAAAATATATACGGTGTTGAAGAGGTGCATATGCTATCAGAACGGGAACTATACTCATAGCTAAGCAGAAAAGGAAACTAATACAGCCCATTCTTGCCCTCGAATGTACTGTTGTATACAAATAATCCAGTTTTGCATTTCAGACTATTATTTTTTATGAATTACCCCACCCATATTAATTTTTCACTACACTGTTATCAATACATAAAACATTTTTCACAAAAAGTGTTCCCATACTGTTTTTTGGAGGGGTTGCTCTAACAGACTCAAAAATAATTGGACCTCATGCTGCCACTTGGTCTGCATAACTAAAAGTCAGCGTTACTTTCTTTTTTCAGTGGAAGAATTTTTTATGACCTTGTGCAATTTGTTGCACTGCTGTACTATTCAGCTAGTCAAGCCCTATGAGAAAACTCTAATTTAATATCCAGTCAAACAGTGTATAACATCATTCTTATTTATGTAGGAAAAACATTAAGCAATCCATTGGAAAAGCTTGTAAGGGTCAGACCTAATAATACTCCTCACCTTTCAAGTACTTGAGGCTGACGTGCTAAAAGCACCGTATATAAGAGTGATAAGATAATACCTGCTTTATAGGTGGATAAACCAGAATGATAACATACTTAATCCTGAGAAGTGCTGAACATCAGCAGTACCATTATAGATCATTAGGAAATCTTAGCATTTCTGGGGATTAAGCCTTCAAAAGTCCAAAATTACAAACTTTAATGACACAAATAGGCTTTGCTGTACGTGCACGGCTTAAAAGCTACATCGTCGGTGACAATATATCACTCAAGGGCAAAAATCACCCAAGTGGCTTCAAGACCTGAATAGACTAAATGTCTTTTATTCTGTCTTATGACACATGAAGTCATAACACTACAGAAGATTTTGTGAGAATACTGAACCCAGAAAATGGCATTTTATTAATATATAGATTTCACAACCTGGACAAATAGTAGGTAAAATGGATTTCGTCATAGTAAAATACAAAGGAGACAACTATGTCTTTTCCTGTGTTCAGTTATCCTTTGTTACATTTCTTCCAATAGATTTGACTTATGTTTCTAAACCCTTTTTCAATTTAGCTGTGTAATTTGAGTGTATGCATTCGGTTCAAGCTTTCCAGCCTCAAACCTGATTTTATAAAAGGATGACATTAATGATTGCCTATTTCTATCTTCTTTGGTATATTTAACAATGAATTTAAAGATTCTTTTGATTTTGTTAGTTAATATGTAACAGGTTGTGACTGAGCTTTGTTTCAGACACATCATTAAGCTCATTTGCAGTTTAATTAACTCTAAACGATAATATAACAATATTTTCGCTTGCTTTGAAACAAATAAAAAGAAAAGCTCTATTAAGAATCTTGGAAATAACAGAGGAATGATTACCAAGACTGTATTCCTTCCTGCTCAGCAAAATGCTGTCACTGGAAAGCACACTTGGACACCTCTTACTCTAATTGAAAATAAGCGATTAGCATGATTAATATTTTTGTATCATTTCATATTGTCTCAGCTTGAGTGTGTGTAAAATGAGACATCAGAACCATAAGGGCCACAATTTTTCCCAACAAGCGTTCAGTACCAAACAATTCCTATTTAGTAATGTAAAAGGTGACTAGACTTCAAGGAACCTAATCCTAAAGAATCTATTTGATTTGACTAGGCGTCTGCTCCTAATTCATATTGATCCTTCTGAAAAATCTTTTCCTTAATCCACTAGTCTGATTCAATTAAAGGTTCAACTCTCCCTGGATCACCCTGGGAACAGTAAGACCCGTTAGGGTAAAATATTTAAAGATCTAGCTATTTTATTCAGATACATAATTGTGAAGCCAGCGAAATAAATTTATTATGCTTACCCCACCAGTGTCAGACTATGATGGAAAAGGTTGCCATGATATGCCAGCTAGTTCGAAAAACACTGAATGTCAGTTTAAGGATATCCAATTCAAGGATATCTCAGCAGGGGTTGGCTTTCTTCTGCATTCCTATTTTCTCCTTATTTAGGAAGGGCTCTCAGTAGCTTCAATTGCTATGAGTTAGTAGTGCAGAAATGGCACATAGACTTGCTGGGGGCATAAAACTGACACCTACAGATCAAGGAAATGACAATGTCTACAGCCAAAGGCTGTGCCAAGCCAAATAATTCCAAGCAGAGTGGTACGCTCACCCCTAGCATTCTTTGCATTTTAGAAATGACCATATAAACACAGAGGGTATTTGAAGCTGTCTGGAATATTACACTAAAATCTGCTCAAGATGGATGAAAAAAGCAGAATGATCAAATCACAGAAGTTGTCACATGGGTCTACTATAAATTTATAACTTGAAAAGTGTAATAAATCACAGATTTGTAATTGCAAAAGGCAAATATCTATTGTGAAATAGAGGCACAGAAAAATATAGTGTATATTATCTAGAAGGTGATAAGGTGACTCTTTTACCTGTTCAGTCACCTTTATATAAAGAATAGAATTCCCAGTATTTAGAAAAATCTGTTATATTTATACTGGGTACCTTAAAAAAAAAAGGGGGGGGGGGGGAATTTAAAAACTATGAAAGGACAAAAATAGGAATTAGATTTGCAAATAGAGAAAACATAACCACAGGTTCATCGTATTTCAAAATGAAAGGTTTACATTCTCAAAACACAGCACTTAACTGGGCAAGTCTGATCGGGTGCTCTAAAATAAAACCCCATAGTGGCTAACACAAATAATTGGATCACAAGTTAATTGATTTTACTCTTTTTAAATACCTGCACATCCCTTAAGTACCACTATAAATTAAGAACAAAATAGATGAGTTCAGTACTTTATTTAAACTGCTATCATCTAGACCCATATTAAAAATACTAACTTAGAAGGCAAATACCCTGTGCCAGAATTACATTTGGTTGGAAGGAGCTATGTTCATCTACTACAACTGAGCTTTGAATACCTAAGGCTAACTTGCTCTGTAGAGTGAGATGCCATATTGTCATTTATTGTGTTTGTCATGCATACAGCCTAGAAATTCTAGTCATTCTGTCATATTCAGAGTTTTATCAACACAGGAGGGGAAAAAAGACCTGATTCCCCTTTTTCTGCGCCTGAAATCTTATTAAAAAACTACAGAAAAAACAGACAACAGACTGATAGCAACTTAGAAGGAAAAAATGAGTCAACAGTGGCCAGTGGTCTACCCTTAATAATCATTTTTTTGTAGACAAATGAAACTTTTAATGGGGAACTGAAAGACATGAAGGAAATATCATGATGGATATAGATGAAGAGTTCCTTCAAGAGTGTGAGGGTAGCTTGTGAGGAAGCACAAATAGACTTGAAAATGTAATACATGAGAAATGTTTGGTGTCATGACAGACTGATGGGAAGTAGAGACCGACCACCGGACATTCTTTTGAGAGATCCCAAAGATGGTTCCACTAGGCATGGAGGTCCGTGAGAGTGCAAACAGGCAATTTATATTTCTTACAACAAAGGAGTCAGTAAAGGCATGGAAATGGTACCTAACCTCTATGAAAACTGGATTCTTATCTGACAGCCTTATTTAAAGTTTCTGTAGTAAGTGAGGTTTTATTTACTGGCTTCCCAGAGCACAGAGGAACAAATGAACTCAACTGCATCAGAATCACCTGAACGTCTACTGTCCAGCAACAGCATGAGCACACAGTAATAACCTTAATACCTTTATGAAGCTACCAAAAAACTGTCTCAGAGTGGAGTATCGATATACCCAAATTAAAGAGCTGCCACAAGCAGCAAACACAATGCAAGAGAAACGTGTCTGGGATCGGTGATCACTACCCTATGGCTCATTAAGATTCTGCATGCTGTGATTCCCAGGCAAGAACAAACAAATTAAAACTGCATGTCAGTTTGCATTTATCAGCGCGACATTCCAGTTGAAGGTATTCTGTGCTACTATCATGTGTTTGTTTCCCCTTCTATATATCATAAAAGATGAGAAATAATGGGATATATTAATTCACATGTCTCTACTAGAAATTCCCCAGGGAAATTGTATTATTGTACTTGTCCTCCTCTACTGAAGTCCACGGCTTTTGCAAACATATTTTGTCTATCTACTTTCTTGAAAACACGAAGACAAGCTTATACAATCTCTTGCAATCTGCTTGCTCTTTGTCTGTGTCTTTTACTTTGCGCTCTGTCATTCAGCATGTGAGCACCTGAGTGGCCAATATTTATTTGCTAAGGAAACAACGTATTTTCCATAGTTCTGTACCTGGAATATCTCCAAGGACAAGTGGATTTTCAAAGTGATCACAAAGGTTTGCATTCCTAAGCAATCAGCAATGAGAATCTCACAAATGCCAGTAATGGTCATTTCGTGTGGAATTCACTGGGACACAAAGCCCAGCTTGCCAGCTAACGATAAACCAAGTAATCTGGTGCTTGGAGCTCATCAGACTTCACAAACTAGGCAGGTGAAATACTAGATGAAAATATTATCATAACATTTGTGCATCGAACAAAGTGATACTGACGATTCTTCAGTCACCTTTCATCTCAGCACAACAGCCAGACATGCTGGCCTGCTATCAGGGGGCCCTGGCAGGCTGAAAAACAGGACCTGACCAACCGCAGCTTATACCGAACTCTCCACGAGCAATTTAATGGCCAATTTTGTGGTCAGGGCAAATTGAAA